TCAGCTTCTTCATTTTCATCAAAAGAATAGTTCTTAGGAATGATATTTCTCCAGCTAGCCAAAATATTAGAATATATTACAATACAAATATTTAACCATTTCTTAAATGTCATGTTCAAATAGAAAAAAACTATAATAATATAACACATTAACTACTATTCCAGTAAACTGAAATGGACAGTACACCTCAATTTATTTCAGCAAACTGAAACACAATTCAATTTATTTACTACTACATAATAAATGAATATCAATGAGTAAACATTTATCCATCAGTGCATGCCACATAATAAATTATAAAATCATAATGTTATATTGATACTTCTACTGTAAAATGCAAACTACAACCTGCAGGCTATATGTATAAAGGGAAGGACTAATAAGAAGAACAACCCAATGAATCTATAAACAAAAATAGTAAATAACCCTAAAAAATGCAAAGCCCTAAAAAATTGAAAAAAAAAACTGGGAAAAAAAAGATGCCCTAACAAGCTAACCTAAATTCTTCATTGCAAAAACCATGACCGAGCGGTCCAAGACAAGATTTGGAATGGACAAACCAAGACAAAAACGGAAGATTCCTTTGGAAGGAACTAACCGATATGACGAAATCAGCTAAATACCATAATGCCCATAGATGCTCAAAGCTTTGACTTCTAAAAGGGAAAAATAAAAAATAGAAATGAGATACAAACAATGGTGTTTTTCTTGAGGCCGAGGAGATGTGCTTGGCGAACACATCGAACCGAGACTTATGAATGCAAGAGTCAAGACTGTTCTTGACTAAGCAACATATACTGGAAAGTCGAAAAGAGCTTCAGGCTCAAATATATTAGAGAGTGGAGATGAAACCCTAAACAAATGAAGCCAGAGAAGGAGAGCTGAGAGTAGATACGTGGCATAAGTAAAAATGAATAGCGGCTAATACTAGATGACTACACGTATTATGCATGCAAATCACCCTAATTAGACCATGCAAGTCATTTTGGGTCATCATCAGATTCTTGGGTTAACTCGAACTCGAACCGAAATTTTAAAATGGTCAGAATTGTAGACCCGAACTGGACCCATTTTTTAAGTACTTACTTCCTGTTATTCTTTGTCACACTCCTTTGACCTCCAATGGTACCAATAACACATCCATGTCGTTTGTTGAGGTCAAGGGAAGTGATGAAGATAGAATGCGATCTCCTATCACTTGCCGCAACTGAGATGCATGAAACACGGGATGGATGGCTGCTGACTGCGATAACTGTAGGTAATATGTCATAGCCTCGATGTGCTCCACTTTCTCGTATGAACCAAAATACTAGGGCAATAACTTATCATTCCATCTCCTTGCCATGATTTTTATGTCCTTAGGGATGAAGCTTTAAGTGAACTGCTTCCCCCAAATCAAATAGCCATGTCTCTCCTTTGAGCATCTGCCTTCTTCTTTTGAATTTATTGATCTCTCAATAAATGCTCTTTCAACTCCCCTAAAATCCTATATTTGTCCTCTAAGTACTGCTCTACTGAAGCCACCAAAATACTGCCTTGTCCATAATATATCAAGGGAGGCGGATCACTCCCGTATAACACTTTGAACGGTCTAGTCTGAGCTGCCGAATGATAGGAAGTGTTATATCAATACTATGTCCAAGCCAACCATTTTTCCAACAACTTTGGTGTTTTCGATATAAAGCACCACAAATAAGTCTCCACACTACGATTGACCACCTATGTCTGTCCGTCCGTCTAAGGATGATAAAGCAGTGCTCTTTTTCAAAATGGTCCCCTGCATTTTGAACAATTCCTTCCAGAACCAGCTCAAAAAAATGTTGTCTCGATCCGATACAATCGATTATGGGATCCCATGCAGTCTCATTACATCCGTCATGAAAATCATGGCTATTGTTATTGTTGTGTAGGGATGGCAAAGGGGAATAAAATGGGCATGCATACGCAATCAATTCGCTACCATTAGTATCATAATGCATCCTTCTAATTTTGACAGCCCTTTAATGAAATGCATGGTCATCTCATCTGACACCTTTTTTGACAAAGCTAGCGGCTGTAGGAGCCCTCCTAGAGACATAACTAAATACTTATGTCTCTGGCATATATCACAGCTAACCACCATTTTCTCAACATCCTTCTACATACCCTCCCAATACAGTTTTGTAGAGACCGACGATATGTCTTTTTAACCCCCTGAATACCCCCAAATGACCGTCCCATGAAACTCCTGAAGCAAGCAGAGAATATAAGAAGAAATATATGGAAGCACAAATTGCCCGTAACGAAGCAATTTTTGTCTCGCCACTAAATATTCCAGATGGTAGTCCTTATTTTCTGCCAACTCCTCGATGTTCCTCAACCATGTATCTTATTTGCTCTCTCCTCTTAGTACTTTCCAATCAACAACCAAGAACACAAACAATGTCATCATCTGTGGTTCCTCCATGCACTTGGATAAACCATTTGCTGCTTTGTTTTCAACTCCAGGTCGGTATTGAATCTCAAAGTCATAGCCCAATTGTTTGAAAAACCACCTTTGATGCTCCATAGTGATCATTCTTTGCTCCAACAAATACTTCAAACTCCTCTAATAAGTTCTGATGACGAAATATCTTCATAATAAATAAGGTTGTCATTTCTGAATGCCCAACACGAATTCCATTAGCTCTCTCTCATAGACTGACTTGAGCCTTGCCTTGGACGTAAACACCTGACTGAAATAGGAAACTTATCTTTGTTTCTGCATGAGTATTGCTCCCAACCCAAGACCTGAGGCATCTATCTCAACTAGAAAGGGCTGGTTGAAATATGGAAGAGCTAATATTGACACACTGGTCATAGCCTTTAACTCCTCAAAAGCTTGGGTGGATGACTATCCCCACTTAAAGTTATCCTTCTTGAGATGTTTTGTCAATGGCCTCGCTATAGAACCGTATCATTTCACAAATATATGGTAGTAGCCTGTGAGTCATAAGAATCTTCTTAGCTCCTTTAAAGTCTTGGGTACAAGTCATCTGAGCATGGCCTCAATCTTACTCTGGTCAGCTGCCAGTCCCTCTTGTGAAACCACATGCCCTAAATACTCCACTTTGGGTTGAACGAAAGAACAATTCTTCTGATTGGCAAACAAAGTGTGCTCTCTTAAGGTGGATCGCATAACTCTCAAATACTCCAAGTGATCCCCCTCAGACCTGCTATATGCCTATATACCAGTATATTGTAAAAACAATGCCAGCACATCCTTCACAAGTAGGGCTGAAATACCCTATTCATTAGGCACTTGAAGGTGGTTGATGCGTTAGTGAGGCCAAAGGGCATCACCAAGAACTCTTAGTATCCCTTGTGTGTTTGAAAAGCAATCTTGTGGGTGTCACCTAGCCTCATTCTGATATGGTGGTATTTGGATTTCAAGTTAATCTTGAAGAATATTACATATCAATGTAACTCAGCTAACAGCTGATTAATGACTGGTATGAGAAACTTGCATGGTACAGTTTTCTTGTCCAGGGCACCATAATCTACACAGAATCTCTAGTTTTCATTCTTTTTTTCATCGATAATATAGGACTAGAGAGAGGGCTTGCACTGGGTTTGATAATTCCAACTTCAAACATCTCCCTAATCAGTTTCTCAATCGCATCCTTCTGGACCCGAGAGTAGCGGTATGGCAGGATACTAATTGGAGAGATTCCTTCCTTCATAATGAAATAGTGCTCATGCTCTCGAGGGGGTGACAATCCTTGGGGAAGCAAAAATACCTCCCTAAATTGCTGAAGAAGTGGCTGGACCATGTTTGAAATGTCCTCTACATCCTTTGTCTCTCCTCCATCTAAACTCTGGAGCTCTACCAAGAATCCCTCTCCTTTCCCTTGTGGCGCACTAACCAGGATTTTCAAAGAAACCATGGCTTTGGATAAGTTGGGGTCTCCCTTAATTATCACTTTTCTCCCCTCCTCCTGGATCTCCATAGATAATGCCTTGCAGTTTACCCTAGTTTCCCCCAATATTTGTAGCCATTTCATTCCTAGAATCAAATAAGTACTCAAACTTCAATCGGAGAAAATCCTCCTTGATGTGAATCCCCTGCAATTCTACCCCCAAACCTTGACATATCCCTCTGCTTTATCTCCACCTTCCTCATGCCCATCATCACTCCAAAACATCTCGTATCTATCAGTTTATGCCCCAATTTGTCCATCAGGATTGCCACCGCCCCTTCTCATATCTGGCCTCTCACCTTCATAGTGTGATTCAATGTGAATTCTACAACAGAGTTCAATGAAACTTCAGCCACCTCCAAGTGTATAGGCTCTTCTTCCTCCCTCGCTACCTCTGCCTTGTCCACCTCCTCCTCATCACACACTAAGATAACCTGCAAGGTACGATTTTTGCATCTGTCTTGGTGTAAAATCTTGTAAAATCTTTTTTAAGATAGATGCATTCGAACATGAATAAACCATTATTATGTTATTCCCAAATTAAATTTTCTTTTGTTAACATATTTGACTTTAATATCAAAAGCATGACATAAACTCTCCACTTTACTTTCATTTGAGATTATAGGTTTGTTATATTCACATATATTTATAAAGCTATTTTATATTTAATCTTTTATAAATATATTTCATAATTTGTTAAGGAGAAAAAGAAATACATATAGATTAAAAAACATGCATGCACAAAAAAAAAGGAAGCACAATATTTTAATATTTTTTGCAGTATAGGCTCTATGTGAATGAGATGTATGGCAAAATCAATAATAAAAAAGTGAGTTTTTATTGTGTTTGAGCGTTTAAATGTTATCTTGAATTACCCATGGCTCAACTAATTGATGGCGGCAATGTGCTAAAGATTTAATTGTTGGTCCTTATGCTAAACTTCAACTAGTGGAAGTTTTATTACTAATTAAGACATATTTCAATTTGCTTGTGTAGAAAATTATAAAATTTTCAATTATATAGGACAAAAAGATCAGGTTAAATTAACTCGTACTATAACAGGATGATGAAGTATTTGTTCAACTCGAAAATGCTGCCATCGAGCACTCAATAGCTGTGGACTCTGCAGTACTTGGTAAATATAATCTATGGAGGCGAGAATATGATAATGAACATGCTGATGCGAAAGTAAAGTTCATGCGAGATCAAATGACTATGTCAAAGGTTTATATGGCCCTTGCTAAGTCAAAGAGTAAGATTGGTATTTATGAAGAGTTATTGAATCGTCTCAAGGAAAGTCAGCGCGTCCTAGGAAAGGCTAATGCTGATGCCGATCTCCCACAAAGGTTTCCTCCTTTCTATTTAACTAATGTGATGTGTAGTTATTATAATACAAAATTATGTTTTCAGTGCACCGGAGACAATCAGAGCAATGAATCAAGTCTTGTTAAAAGCAAAAGGTCAGCTTTATGATTGCAAGATATTTATTCGGAATCTAAGAGGGATGCTTCAATCTGCGGATGAGCGGGTTAGAGGCTTGAAGAAGCAAAGTACATTCCTTAGTCAATTGGCTGCAAAAACAATTCCAAATGCCATTCATTGTTTATCAATGCGTCTGAGCATAGACTATTACCTTCTCCCTCCAGAGCAAAGAAAATTTCCTAAAAGTGAAAATTTGGAGAACCCAAATCTCTACCATTATGCACTCTTCTCTGACAATGTATTGGCTGCCTCAGTTGTAGTGAACTCAACCATAATGAATGCTAAGGTAATTGATCTTACATTTTTGTTTTCTTGGCTTATAGCATATACTGCCTGCAATTTAGGATATAATCTTGAAGAAGTTGCTAGTAATGTTTTGATAAATTTCAGGAGCCAGCGAAACATGTCTTTCATCTAGTTACTGATAAACTAAACTTCGGAGCCATGAACATGTGGTTTCTGTTGAATCCACCAGGAGATGCAACCATCCATGTGGAGAACGTTGATGATTTCAAGTGGTTGAATTCTTCATATTGCCCAGTCCTTCGTCAGCTTGAATCTGTACCCATGAAAGAATACTACTTCATGGCTGCTCATCCCACAACCCTTTCATCTGGTCCTGACAATTTGAAATACCGAAATCCAAAATACCTTTCAATGCTTAATCACTTGAGGTTTTATCTACCACAAGTTTATCCTAAGCTGAACAAAATCTTGTTCCTAGATGATGATATTGTTGTTCAGAAGGATTTAACACCTTTATGGTTAATAGATCTTAAGGGCAATGTAAATGGTGCTGTTGAGACCTGTGGTGAGAGCTTTCACAGATTTGACAAGTATCTCAATTTCTCAAATCCTCACATTGCCATGAATTTCGATCCAAATGCATGTGGCTGGGCCTATGGTATGAATATGTTTGATTTAGTTGAATGGAAGAAGAAAAACATAACAGGCATCTATCATAAATGGCAAACATTGGTAAGGCTATTAAAATCTTGTTTTATTTCATTTTCTTTTATGTTTTCTTATTTTAGTATTTCATATAATCAGATAGGTTATGTTGGTTGTTATGTGTTATCAACTCATTTTCATTTTCTAACAGAATAAAGACAGAGCCCTTTGGAAACTTGGAACTCTGCCACCTGGTTTACTGACATTCTATAATTTAACGCACCCACTGAACAAGTCATGGCATGTTCTTGGTTTGGGCTATAATCCGAGCATCGATCGCTCGAAGATAGAAAATGCTGCTGTTATACATTACAATGGTAACATGAAACCTTGGTTGGAGCTGGCAATGACAAAGTACAGGCCTTACTGGACCACATATATCAACTATGATCATCCTTACATTAAAAACTGCAAATTGAGAAGATAACTAGAGCTCAACAAAGGCATGATTAAATTGCATAAGAAGGAGTTTTTGATCCTATTGAGGCCTTTCCTTACTCTGTCCAGTTCTAATTTTGATGATGTACATTACATCTTTGTAAATTTATTCATCCTAATAGGGCACATGATTTCCTTTGTTGAACAATTTACTGGTGCCTGATAGTTGTAGATATAACAATTTAACAGTTACCAGATTGTTATTTTATTCCTTGTAGCTTGTTTATAAAAGTAATGCATAGTTGGGATCTTCAGCTTGGCATTGTCATGGATAGAGTTTTTTTTTTTTCCCCTTATTTTTTTGGCTTGAAGATGATTGTCTGCTAGTATTTAGTAATATTTTGAATGAAATGAAATGATTTAGATATAATAATGTATTTTTCATTAGAATAATTTAGAGAAAAAATTGTTTCATGAAAATTTTATATTACAATTATTTCAAAAAATTCCAATAACTAATTTATAACATTTTGATATCTCATTCTTTGTCAAAATTTAAAATAGCCAATATGACCGTTATTTTGATATTATATCCAAATCTTCTTAAGAGAAAAACTGTGACCAAACACATATAGAGCAGGAGAAAGGCTCGGCATGTCCATCCCCTCCGCTATATAAAACAATATCAAACATAAATTAGGGAGTATTCTTAAGAGAAAAACTGTTAAAGTGTTGAACATGTGAAAAGAACATGATGTGATGGAGTAAAGGATAAACTGAAATTAGATTCTTTCATAGCTTTACGTACTAATAATTCATGAACTTACAACCATGCAGCAACACACTTTCTCACATGTAGAGAGGGCTAATGCTAGAAGTGAACTTGTTTATGCTTCATTTGTCAATGATTCTTCGTTACAGCTATCAAGCATAACTGAAGTTGATGAGCGAAACAATGAACATAATATGTTTGAGGATTATCATTAAGAATAAGTGCCTTTAAATCATTAAATTCTCCTTGCATATTGGATGCCCTATCATAATCTCGATTGCGTATCCTATGTATGTTCAATGAATGCTTGACAAGTATAGCTTCAACTGTTGCTTTAAGTGTAACTATATTAGTTGAAGAAGTATATTTGATACTAATAAATCTTTCAACAACTTTTCCCTTCTTATCCATATATCTCACAACAACTGTCAACTGCTTCTTTGTTGACATATCATGACTCTTATCTACAAGAATGTCAAAGTAAGAGTTGTTAATATTATTCATGATAGGAACTAATGTTTCAGCAGCCACTGCATAACAAAGTTGTTTCTGAACTTTTGGTAAAATTAACTTTAATTTCGCATTATCATTTTTAAAAGTAACGTTCTTGATTTCTTCATGGTGATCAGCAATAAAATAAAATAACTTTAAATAATTGTCTTTATTATCTAAATTAGATGTCTCGTTATGTCCACGAAATGACAAACTTTGTCTTAGAAGAAATCTAACACAATCAACTGTTGTACCCAATAGGACCCTATATACTAAAGTAATTTACCTTCCCATGTAACATTGTTTCTCTCTCTAGAATCTCTCTTCCCTCTCCCTTCTTCTCTCTAGCTACTCTCTCACCATTGAAAATGAGATTAAAATGACATATAAATAGTTATTTAGATATTTATAAAAAAAATATTTTCCTTGGCTCCAATACTCTAGCACCACAACGCCCTTAAGGAACCAGTGTTGCAAATAGAGAAATGAACGCCATAACTCCCCCAAGAAAAGCTTTCTACTAATCAATTTCTGAAACAGAGCTATGAGCATGGCAATGTCACATGATAGTGCTGCATTGCCATAAATAAAAAGGATAACACTACAACGCCAACAAGATAACACTACAGCGCCACCAAAGAGCCACTTACAACTTATCCAAAAATTTTCCCAAGTTAAAATCATGAATACTTTCACAACTAAATTAGACATAAAAATAGCTCTACTAATTTAGAGATATTCAATCCATGCTAAGTAAACATGTCATCTTACCATCTCCAAATCAGTTCATCATAAGAAGTCTAATTATTGTAGAATCGGTCATGACACTATGGTTGGGAGATCTGATCATAGTCGAGTAATGGTGAGACTGTAATTGGATGATGGTGGTCAAGAGATTGTAGTAAGATGACAGTGGTCAATAGATAGTAGTTTGGCGATGGCAGTTAGGAGATTGTAATTGAGCGATGATGCTTAAGTTACTATATTCAGGAGATGGAGGCTGGGAGATTGAAGTTAGACGATGGGAGGAGGGAAGATAGAAGTTAGGCAAAGGAGATCAAAGAGTCATAGTCGGGTGATGGTTTTCAAGCAATGATGGTTTGACATTGGTGGTTAGATGACAAAGGTTCAACAGTAGTGCTCGGATGGCAATAATCAAAAGGTGGTAGGTGAACAATGATAGTGGGTAGACGACAATGGTTTGACAGAGGTGGGTGAACAATGTTGATGGTTATACGACATTGATCCTTTGAATGTAGTTGGACGGTGGTGGTCCCATTGTGGTGATCAGGCGGAGGTGGTTTGAAGATGGTTATCCAACGGTGGTGGTCTAATGATAATGTTTACACAATGATGCTCTAATGACAATGGTCGAACTATGGCAACTTGATAATGGTGGTCAATCGATGACAATCTAACGCTGATGATAGGACAATGGTGGTACGTCAATGGTGGTCATTATCTTGAGCATGTTAACAAAATTTACCAAAATACCTCAAATGGGTTAAATTGCCTAATAAATTTTCCATAACACCCCAACTCAATATATAACTCAAGCATATCTTTGCATGCATAAGTATGAAAACTCTATGAATCAATCCTAAAAAAGTGCAGTGTAAAGAAATGATCTTGAAACTTTGCTCGAAGTTTCAATGAATATTAATCGAAAGTTGATCAAACTTGCCTGAAGTTGTTTGGCCATTATTTCAACATTAATCATTTTTTTTCGGAGCATGATCGAATAATCTTTAAAAAGGTTCGAAGCTTTTTTTGGCTATGATAAGATTCATATTCCGTAATACAAACATATTTAAATAAACTTTGAAGAATGTTCAATCATGTGTCGAACATATATTGATGAATGTCAAAATAAGTTTTGAAAAATTTTCAAAGCTGGTAAAACTTATATTTAATACTCTCGTGGACTTAATGTTACGTTGTAAACATATAACATCACGAACCTTCAATAACAATTACTTGATAACCAGACGACATAAATATTATATTGAAACTTTATTCTAGAACTATCACTAGTGAATGAGGATTGCTAAAAAGGAAGGTGCTAAGAATAAGTGAGGCTGATCATTTTCTTGAATGTCTTTTGAATATAATAATATTGATTTTTTATACTTTCAAATCTTTATGGGCATATAATGTTAAATAAAAAAAAATAAATAAATATAAAAATTTATATGTTAGATATATAGATGCCTAACAAATATTATATAAATAAATATAAAAATTTATATCTTAGATATATAGATGCCTAACAGTTCGATCTGATTTATGGAAATCCCTCCCTTAAATTGGAGAAGTGGAGACCTCGGCTCGCCTCTCCGCTGTCCGCTCTATTGCGATGGCTTCCAATTCCCGGCCTTCTCTCATCGCAGAGATCGGACCCGACGGCATTGCCAGGGAGTCCGCTATTATTGCTTACACTGAGAAGGTCTCTCTCTCTCTCTCTCTCTCTCTCTCTCTCTCTCTCTCTCTCTCTATCGCTCTCGCTCTTGCTCGCTCTCCCACACACGCACATTTTCTCCCGCCATATAACTCTGCTTTGGCTTACCGGTTTTTAATCTGCTAGGTAATCGAGGAGGAGCAGCTACAGTTGAAGAGGTATGCTAGATGTGCCTATTCTCTTCCCTCCCGCCCTTTTTCGAGATCTGGTTTCTTTATTTTGACTTCTTGTTTAAAAAGTTTATTTAATCGGCGCCAACATCGACTTCATTGATCGCTTTGTTTTCTTAACTCAAAAGTGCGAAATTGATTGGTTGAATTGAAATTAGGATGACAAACGTAAGTTTGCTGTTCTATCTGTTTTATTTTTCCTTATCAGGGCAAAAAATGGGAGCTTAGAACTTTTTGGTCAACAGGGTACTGAAATCATGAATTTAGTCTTTGGTATCACATTCTTTTTTCTATTTTCTTTTTAATTTTATAATTTCGATCCAGAGGCATAGATTAAAAAAAAAAAGAAATTAAAAAAACGCGTGGGTTGTCTTTTCTCAGTAGTTTCATACCATGTTGTCGTTTATCAAAGATTTTGAAATCAACTCAAATGTGTTTTCAATTTCTTTTGCTATAGTTGTAAACCGACGCAAATAACGATTGCCAACCATCATTTCGGTTACACTAACCTGAAAAAAGCTTGATCAGCACAAAACAATGAGAAACCAAAGACGCTGCTCACTGTTAATTGTTTATGGAATTATTGGAATTCTTTTATATTCTGTCTGGGATGCACTTCAATACACTTGAATATCTTGGTTGATAGTGAACTTCAACAACAACCAACAACAACCAAAAAGTAGCTGGTTTGCCATTTTTGGAAGTGAATCAAACCTCAAATAATTTATTCAAGTGTACATTCGAAATCAGGGGCATTTTTCTTGTAAAACATCATAAGAAAAGCTTTTTAAGGTACAATATCTGCCAAAAAGTAAATGCACTATGATTAGACATGGTAGAATATTTTGAAAATGGAATTGTATTGGTATATCTTTAATCATTAGTCTATGTTATAAAAAAATTAATTATCATAACCTATTGGAATCCTAAATGAACAAAAAAAAAAATAAAAAAAAATGGAAGGTGTTGGAGTGATTCCCTACTTTAACCCTTAATTAGTTAACTAATTTGACTTATACATTTAAGTAAAAATAGCCCTCATCTACAACGTAGTCATGAGTTGAGGGCCAAAATCTTATCTAACATGTCAGTGAATGTTGAAATATAATAGCTGTGGTGTACTTGGACATTTTCAAAAGTTATTTTGTTAGCTTTTCAAATCTGAATCTTTAACAAATGAACGACTTTCACACTTCAGATTTGCATAATGTATATCTATATGATCTCGTTCATCTATTTGACATGGGGAAATAGATTTTCAAATATACTTGTTCGATTGTCGAAAATTTTGATTAAGTCCTATACTTTCTCAATAAGTAGCATTTAGAATCATCTCATCATATTTAACATCATCAAAGGCATAAATGAGGAAGTGCCTTTTATTTCTTCTCCATTATTTGGATTTTATGATTTTAGATGAACAAACTGTCATTTTCACGAGGATCAAAAATATATTCTTCCATTTGATAGAGGTTATAGCTGATGGGGACATTAGATCGTGGAAGGTTTATCAGAGACGTGGCTGCTGATCTACGGCCACGATAGAGTCTTTGTATTTTTGAGTCATTTGTATTATTTTATTATTCATGCATTTTATTTATTGAGTGTTTTATGTTTTCCGTTTGTACCGCTTTAATGGGAAGCGTCGTATGTAAGACCAAAGGGCAAGTGTCTTTTATTTCGTTGAGTCATTGTACCCGGCTATTTATAGCCCTTTCTTTCATCTTATTGATTAATGAATGATTGCTAATTTAAATTTTTCTCTTGCATGAGCATTGTGAGAACTTCTAATGGTGAGAGATCCCTAGTGAGGGAGATTTGCGCAACACCCACCAACCTTGATAAGTCAGGTTCGTGGTTTCTTTCGTTTATATCGTTTTCTTCTCTTCCCGTTGTTTCTCTCATATCCTCTTCCTCCTCACCTAGCCGTCGGATTCCCTAGCACCTGGATTCTCCCTCCACATTTCCCCCTCAACCACACGGCCCAAGCCCAACCCGAACCCCATGCCGCCGGCCCCATCCACCTAGCCGTCGACCCTCCTGCTCCTTCCTCCCTCTAAAATTCCTTGCTTAATTTGGGTGGACATATTTTAGGCTGATTTCAAATTCAAAACCATGTATTTTGAAATTCGAAATCTTTCATAATTTATGAAAGCTATTTTTTGAAAGTTTCCTAATTAATTAACACTTATTTAAATTTAAAATTCAATTAGGATTTTAAAACCCCTTTCCTAATATTCAAATCCAAATCAAGCATCATTAATTGCTCTCCACAAATCCCTCCCTCCCTCATTAATGCCGACCCCCCCCCCCCCCCCTTTGGGCCCCCTGCTTGGATTTGGAATTCTTTCCTAAACCTCCAACTTTGTTTTATGAAATGATTTCAAGTCTCCTTGATCTTTGCTGGCCGAATTTCCCTAAGCATCAATTTGATAATTTATTTCCTAAACCCAAGTATCAACTTAGGAAATAAATCCCCTCTCCCTTCCCCCTTGTACCGCCGGCCCTCTCCCTCTCTCTCAAAACCGTATCTCTCCCTCTCCCTCTTAATTACTTCAAGGAGAATATTGCCTTAAGACTTCTCCCTCTAATTCCCCCTTGTTACTTTAACAATCTAAAATTTTCCTTCAGATTTTGGGATAAAAATCTGGAAATAATTTCAGATTTTGGTCAAGAGCCTTGATAGTTTGTTTCCATCAACTTGCAAGAGGAACTTCTTTCTCTTTGCCACTGCTTACAAGGAGTATCAAAGGCTAAGGAGATTTCACCTTCATTACCCATGAATGGCGGATCCGGAGACTGAGTATGGGATAACTTGGGACGACGACGGTTTCACCGATATCCTACAATCTACTTTCTTCGACGTGAACCCGCGGATTGACCACACCGTCGAAGACTACTTGGAGAGGATCCTAGATACTTTGGTGGAAGCTATCGACGAACACTTCGAAGGCATCGAGTGGAGGATCTCCACCTCTCCCTAACGAAGGTTTCTCTTTTCCATTGCATCTTATTCCTTTTAGTCTAAACTCTCCTTGGTTTGATTGCAGTCACGACGGACTCTTCCGCATTGCTCTTGCTTAAGCTTAGTAATCGTAAGATTTGAGTGCACCTCGATGCATCCTAATTCTCATTGTTAGATTAGGGATTAGTTTGAAACTACTACTGCTCAGTGTGTTGTTTTTCGATTTATTTTGGAAGCTTTAAAGTTCTTATCATGTGATTTTAAACCTAAACGGATAACCACTAATTGCTTTATTTCGTTGTTTGAATTTGCTAGTAGCTTTGTTCTAGAATTATTCTGATCATAAGTTGTGCAAAATCTAAGTGAATTAAACATTGCATACGTAGTCCTGCATCAATAGCCTTGCGGAATTGAAAGAATGCATCGATAAATGAGAATACTCTAAACCAATGATATTTAGTTAAAGTTGCTGAAACAAAAGTACCGGACAAGCTTATAAATTTTGGCAAAGTTTTGCTAGTGAAACAATATCAGCAGGTATTGGCATGAGGTATAAATTTAAAGAATAATATTTTTTATTTAGTGAATACGAAGATCAATTGAATAATCAATTTAAGTGTGATACAACTTATCAATGCACATATAATATTTCAATGCATGTCAAATATATTATTTTGTTAGAGGATAGTTATGGTATCCAACAAGCAGGCTTCCTTCATTCTACCATAGTGGTCATGGATTCAAATAACAAAAATAGTTTAATCCTGTTTTGATACACCAAATCAGATTGGTTGTACCTGACAATTGATGTCTTGGTCCAAGTCAGCTCTTAATTGGGTTGGTTTAATTGTCAGTTTTGGTTAAAATCTGCCCATTGAATAATTTGTTTAGGCATGTAGCACATAGCAATTGAATGCAGTTGAAGATGCATAGGTTTTATTATACATCTTTGAGGCTTCTTTTAAGGATCATGGCTATTTTCTTACCATGGGCTCAAAACAATACAGTACTGCATGCATACTTTTTCTGGAAATTTGCTTCCAATCGATGTTTAGACAGTTCTTCAATGTCGCAGCTTATTAGGGTGATCAATCTCCATATATAACATCTGTCTTGAATAATGATGCATTAACAACTGACATTCACCGTAGCTACTCCTGAAAATTACTGATAGCTATTCTTAGGAGGAAAATGCTTATTATCCTTTTATTTAGATTTTGATATTTTGACCTTCAATTGCAATATCAAGACCATTTATTATCTTTATCTTCATTAAAAATAGTGGCATATATTATTTCAAAATTTGTTCATTTGATCATCAATTGAATACATCAAAGTTTTCTTAATGGATACTTATATTCGAAAATAATTGTGATTTTTAATGTAGGATTTTATAGTGGAATTAAATAGATGTGTCGTTTATGATTTTTAGGTTGTACTTAAAGTGGAGTTACAATATAACAAAAATGATAGTATATATATATATATATATTAGCATTAATTTTATTCCATGTCTTATAAGCATATATTCTACCCTTTATTGTATATGTTCAAACATCTATTCTACTTTTTATTATTTTATCTTCAATACATACTGCTCCTAATGTTCTCCTAATACATGCTACTCATAATGTCCCCCTAATACACGCTACTCGTAATGTCCCCCTAATATATGCTACTCCTAATGTTAATCGAATATAATTATTTTCTCAATCTTTCCTTCCTTGTTTTTCCGTAGCTCTATCTTATCATTATTATTTCTTCCCCTCAACTTAACACTCACTTTTGCATCTGGTGTTGGCTAGTTCATCATAAAAATAAAATCAAATGTTAATGCTCATATTTTAATTAAATTTATTATTGTGATGAGTATTTAATATGATGATACGATCACTTATGCAATGTAAATCATTTTGCTTCAATTTTGGTGTTTACCTGATAATCTATTTGAAAAAAAAAAGTACAAGAACATTTGGAAAGGATAGTGGAAAGCTTTATGTATCATATGCAGAATGATAAGCTGAACAAACCTAGGATAACATACCCTAGTTTTTGTTATATTGTATTGAACTGAATATGTTTTCTTGGGAATAAAATATTAAATCACCAATTTTAATAGCTTTCGATGACTTATTGTAAGCATAGTTTTGAAGTATTATGTTCCTTCCTTTTTTCTTTTGCTCCACTCAGCCCCTCCCATTCTCCTTTTTCTCTTGCATCCTAACCCCCAAAAAAAAATACTATAGATACATCAAAGAGAATTATTCAAAAATACGAGATGTTGAAAGAGAGCTAGAGAATCTTACATTGGAGTTGAAACTTACAGCTGGACCCAAGAAAGCAGGTAGTTCCAATTCTATACTAGAAGTGCATTCCTTCTGCTTACAAAAATGCAAGAAATGTTCTGATTTTGATCTATTGGCTCTTTCTTGATTTTATTAGCTCTTGAACATATGCGAAAGAAAATAGAATTAGTAAATGAAAGGTTACGTGCTGCCAAGTTGAAGGAGGAACAAGCCAAAAAGGTATGATTATTTTTCGCCGGGTTGATATTTCTTGGTTCCTTTTAAAGTTTCCTATTAGGCACTGGGAACTGAAATACTTTCTTTCAGCAAATATTACTCTTTCCACATGGTTTCTATTTATCTGTTTTCGTCCGCAGTGTATGTCTGGAAACTATATAGTTCACTGGGGTTTGACTAATTTCTGATTTCACATACACATTCATAAAGCTAAAATTCTTCATTATGTGATTAATTCATAACATTTTTGTTTTTCTTAACGTAGCTTTTGTTGTAGCCATCATAGACAACTTAGGATTTATTTATGATAGCTTTTTCATTGCTTTGTGCTTTAGATCGCTTCCACACATCTGTTTTGCTACTATTTTCTGATTGTTTACTGTAAATTTTGTGATAGAAAGCTGTTTTGAGTATCAGACATGCTAGAATCTGATAGTCGTAAGAATGTTGCTATCTAACTTTCAAAAAGGAAAATATTTATGGTACTTAATGTGATAGTTGTAACAAAGCTGTTATTTAAATTTCAAAATACCAAATATTTATAATACTCACAACCACTTCTAAAAAAGTACTTTTTCCATAATATTTTTAACAACCACTCTTATAAAAAGCTCTAGCAGGCCCCAAATGGACTCTTAGTTGATGACATTTCAATAAGAGTTTTTATTTTTTTTTTTTCAATTTTTGAAATTCATTTTGTTGATTTGAACTAGCTCTAGCGAATATTATTACTTTCAATTGTAAGAGTGACTTGGTTTAGATTGAGCCTAGTAATGAACTCAGAATTGAGCCATATTTATTGGTTGGACTTTTCTATTGGGGTTTAATTTTTATTCTACGATTTGAATTTGAGCCATCTCAATTCAGTTCTTTCTATAGTTCAGGGAAACCAGATCCGAACTGAGCCAATTCCTCTCTATACAAGAATGATAAGTCTTATTGGAGAAAAAGGTTTCAAAGGCCTTAATTGCTAAGCCTTTAATATCATTTCAGTAGATTTCAAATCGTTCATACTTTTACACGCCTGAATCACTATTTATGCTGAAATAAGTTATGGAGCTCACAATTGTTTTTATGGGATGTGAAATTCTGAAATCATTCACCTGTGGCCTTCAAAGTTGAGGTATAATATTCTGTTGAGAATAAAAGTAATTTATGAGCCATTATCTATGGATGGTGCTTTTAGTTGTGATTATCCTATTTTAGTGTTTTTGATCATCTGCATTATTTTTCATCTTACTTGTGTGTGAGACTATGAGAGATCATGTTGGCTTGTTCTAGCTTATTAGGTAATTGAGAGAAGGTAAGACGTCCTAGAGCTTTTATAAAAATATCAGACACCTAAGTGTGTTTTTACTCTTAGCATTTCACATGCAAAATGTGTCATATCTTTATATTTAGCCTCAACATTAACTTTTTTACAATAATTTATTTCTTATATTTCCATGTAACAAGGTTACCTCCAAAAAAAAAATATATATATAATACCTAAAAGTGACATGATCCAACATAATCAACATCTGAGAATCCTTCTACATTTAAATGCTCATGTTTAGCATATATAACCTTTTTCTAGGACACTTTTTTGATGTACTTAAGAATTCTCAGAACGATCTCCTCGTGCTTTTGTTTTGGAGCTTGCCTGTGTTGGCTCATTACTTTGACAACCAAAGAAATATCATGTTTGTCGATGGTTAGATAAATCAAATTTCCTAATAATTTGTGATATCATGCGGGAACATCAAATGATTCCTCGCCATCTGAAGTACTCTTGAGTATTCGTGAGGGTATTTGCAAGTTTGCAACCAAGATTGCCAATCTCTTCAAGAAGATCGACAACATATTTTATCTGAGAAAGTAGGACCCCTTGTTTGGTTTACGCAATTTTAATCTTATGCAAAAAAAAAGCATTTAGGTTATTCTAGATCTTTAATTATTAAACATCTTTTTTGGTTATTATTTTACTTGAACATGTCTTTTTTGTCACTCAAGTGAGTCAGATGGTATCAACATAAAAAATTTAGAGCTCAAAAGTGTGTGCTTTATGAATTTTACCTCAAAGATGCATTTTTTATCATTCCAGTTAGGGGTCTTCAGCATGGAAGACATGAAGGAACTTGAAAGTGTATGCTGGACAAAGATGGAATGATTGAGAATGCTACCATGAAGGCCAACTTTGGCAATAATTTAACAAAAAACTTCATAAAGCAGGGTGATTGTTCCATTGTTAGCCTTCTTGAGTAGAGTAATATGATTCTTCCCTTGGGCAACATAGCCAAGTGGTTGTTCATATAAATTTCTTCATTTAATTTGCCATAGAATGCGGTTTTACTCACATCCATTTGTGGAAATGACCATCTTTGATTGATCCTGACACAGGAGAATATTCATGAAGTTCAGCCTGAGAACTATAGAGGTGTTAAAATAGTTGAGCCCATAGGTCTTTGTGAATCTTTAGGCAACAAACCAAGCTGTATTCTATTATAGCGATGGAGTAGAAGCCTCCTTTCAGTATCACATAGCTTGCCTCTAGAGAGTATTCAAGGGCCCTTCCTGGCAAGTTTTGAGTATAATGAGAAATGATAATGACGAGAAATATATGGAAGGAAGAAGATAACTGATGGAATGCAATATAAAAGCGAATAGTTTTAGGTCTAGATTGCATCCCGTCAATCTGACATGCAGCTAAGCATTCCTTGGCTTGGTCATTTTGGAAGAAGTCCTGTTTGAAGCACTTTTACATCTCAAATTTTACTTATAATGGAATGATTAAGACTTAAAGAGTTTCATAATGCTCTTTGTTCAGGTAAAAAGTAGGTTTTGAGCAGTCATGCATGCATCCTTTTTTTTTTTTCCTTAAATCCAAGTCCTAGTTGAATGGATCTAGCGTGAAGCTTCATTGGAACTATCTTTGGTCATGATGATTTTTATATATCCCTCATCATTTATAAAGTGGGTAAGAGCGAGGTACTATCTTCTGGATTAAAAATATTTTGGCGGCCATCCAATGGAGAGTATTTTGGCCGATGATTAACTATGGCTGCATATTTTGTATATGTTTCAGCTTGGTTATCCTTTTTCCTCTTTGATTTTGTGCCAGATTTTGTGAAATGCTCTTTTTTAGGGTTGTGCTATAAACTAGTAATGTTTGTAGGCATGGGAAGCAGCAGCTCAGGTTGTGAAGGATGAAGAAGCAGCCAAACAGAAACTTTGTGATGACCTAAATCAACTGGTATGCATTTACTCCTGTATCTTTTCGTTATCAAGTTTACATACTGTATAATAAACTGGTCATACTTTTCTTTCTTTTGGTCAGGTACAGGAAAGTGCGAACACTCAATATTCACGATTAGAGGAGTTGAAAAGGAGACTAGAAGCTCTTAATCCTAGCAGGGTTTCTAGTGATGTTTCAGTAAGTTAAAAAAATGATGTCTTTGCTTTCCTTAAATTTTTTTTTTAGCTGCTCTTTGTTGCATGATAATAATTACTGGTTGCAATTATATCCGCTTGATTTGTCTGTTTGTTAGTTTCGTCTCTACAGTTATGCTGTTGTTTACTGTACCCAATGCACAATTTCACCATGTTCTCAGTTAGTGAACTCTTGGTCGCTTGGATTATTTTGAATTAAATTTTTAAAACCGTCATTATCTGTGTAATTAGGAATATTATCCATATGCAGCCTGTTGCTCACCCTTATTATTCCTTGAACTTGAAGAAAAAGGGACCTTACAGATGTTCTAAAAAATCAAATAACTGCTGAAATCATTGCGAATGAATTGAGTTTTCATGTTTCTCCTGTCCTGAATTCATCTCTTTGCCCTCGGCCAGTGATTTTGCCGAGCAAAGGAATTCTTCCTGTGCTTACGCATCTAGACAATGGTCAGACTTGACAGTCTAAACATCCACTTATATCTGCCTGTAAAAAGCTGCTTTTTTTGTTTCATTTGTTTGCTAAGGATTGTAGGTTAAATGAGATATAGTGAATTCATGCATTTTTTAAGAATAATCTCACGTTTGCATTCATCAAGCTCCGTTTATTCCAGACCAACGTTAAATTTATTTAGGGTTAGAGGATTGTTGGCACTTCAACTTTCAGCATTTCCAGATCTAGAACATTCCAAGAAATGGCACTCTGGAAGTAATCACAGTGACATGAATATGTATCCTATTTACCATCAAAATTTATATCCTTCGATTCACCAATATTGACATAATGATTTCATCAGTTCTTTATATTATCCTGTTTTAGGATGGCAAGTCAGTGCAATCGTCTCACACCAGCGAAACAGTTTCACAAAAGACCATACAGCAGGCTGCAGAACTAGCTGGTCAAGTGCCTCACAGTTCGGCTATGTCCGGCACTAAAAATAATACTGCATTGGCATCAGATGGTGATAACCAGCCACATCAAGTGAGGGAAAAGAAGCCGACCATGAATCCTGCTAGACTGAAGAAAAACATCATTCTAAAGAGCAGAGCAGGTTCAGATTCTGGTTGGACTGGAGCTGGTTTTGATGTGGAAGGAAGGACATGAACCCCACACTCCCCTGGCACCAGAGGTATTGTGTAGCATGCTTTGTTTTATTTTTTTTTTTATTTTTTTCACATTATTATATCATCTCAAAACACGGTGAAGGTGATGCATTTAATTTTTTTAAGCTAGAGTAGTTGCAGCTTTATAGGCTGAGGATGAAATATTTTTAGCATTTGTTGTTTCTGTGAACGAGAGATCTATTTTCTGTGATCCTATTGAACTTGTACATAAACTAAACATTATATCGGGATTAGTATTGCACCCAAAACTAGTGTGGATGATACTATTAGGGTTGTCAATTTAGTTTTATCTTTCAATAGCTTGTGTTTAAATTAATAGTGGAAAAATATTGGCTTAAGATGTATGATCAAATTTTAAGTATCAGATGAGTGCCATATAAAATTTGAATTAGGGCTGCAAACGAACCAAGCTGAGCCAAGAAGTTGCTTGTTCTTGTTTTACTTTGTTTATTATTAGTTTGTTCAAGCGGTTTGAGCTCAATTCGAGCATTTTTATTTGTGTTCAAGCTTGGTTCGTGTAACTTAATGGATGTTCTTATTTGGTTTGTGTTCTGTTCATGTTTGGCTTGTGTTCTGTTCATGTTTGGTTCATATTCGATTTGTTTAGTGTTTATCGAGCTTTACTTCTAGATGTTCATTAGCATGACAAATGAGCCTTATCTAGCCTACTAACATACAATTACATCGAACTTGTTTACGTAGATATCTAGCGAGTGTTTTCAAACTACCAAATGAGTATGCTCACAAACATATCTTGTGAGTGTTTTCAAGCTACCAAACGAGCATGTTCGTGAACATATCTAGCAAGGTTCTCGAACTATCAAATAAGCCCATTCTCGAACATATCTAACAAGTGTTTTGAGCTATCAAATGAATCTATTTACAAACATATCTAACTAGTGTTTACGAGCTACCGGTTTAGCTTGTTTACGAACAAGCAAAGTATGATTCTAGTATGATTTGGGGATCAAATCAGCACCCAAAACATATACAAGAATGAAATCAACACTAAATAGCAAAAAACAACCACCAAACTCAAGAGAAAACAACAATGGTATGCAAAAACAACACTAATAAAGCTGAAATAATAATCTTCAATCAAAGAAACATGATATACAATTGATTCACTCTTCGAGAGATGAATCAGCTCTCCCCCATTTTTCTAGAAGCAACATGGAATTCAAAATCACCAAAGAAACAACTCCAAAAAATTTTCACATAATCCCTCCCACATACAAGCTTTTTTCCTTAAAAGAGCCCTAATCCCATCATAAATGCACCTCACATTTCCTCCAATGATCTCCCCTTAAACTTTTCCCATCATAAATGCACCTCACATTTTCTCCAATGATCTTCCTTTGAACTTTTTCCTCCTATAGGTTTGAAATGAGGTGCTGGGACCCACAAAGCCGCCACTTAGGGGGTAAGGTTTACAGCTGTATCAATACTCCCATTCCAAAAAATCACCTTTTCCTCAAGGTGGAAAGAATAAAACTGCCTTTGGATAGTGTTGTAGGCATCCCATGTCGCTTCATATTATGATAAATTCTTTCACTTGATCAAAACTTCTATGATCCCCTTGTCTCCTTGGCGCACCCCTTGCACCTCTAGTGGTTCTAATTTTATCTCCATATCTTCCGACAATATAGTCGGTAGTGCGGGCGAGGGTGTATGGTCTCCAATGGCTTGTCTCAGCTGTGACATATAAAATATTGGATGGATGGTTGAAGTTTGTGGCAACTTTAGGTAGGCGATCGCACCAATGCGTTGCATGACCTGGTAGGGCCCAAAATATGGGGGGAAAGCTTCTCGTTCCTTCGTCGAGCTAGAGCCCTCTGTCTGTAAGATCAGATCTTCAAATAAACTTTGTCTCCAATCTCAAACTGCACATCCCTCCTGTGTCAATTTGCCTACTTCATAATTTGCTATGCTTGTCGTAAATTGCCCTTTAATTTTGCCAATATACGATCCTTTTCTCCCAAGTACTGCTACACTGACGATACTGGTGTGTTGCCATGCTTATAATTTAGCAAATGAGGGGGGTCTTATAGGATTTTAAATGGTGTTGTCTGGGTTGTTGATATGAAACATTATACCAATACTCACCCAGACTAGCCATTTGGTCCACATCTTTCAGGTATCCGAGATAAAGCACCGAAGATAAGTCTCCACTTTGCGATTTACCACGCCCATCTAGTCATCTATCTGGGGGTGGTAAATAATGCTCGATTTCAAGATAGTCCCATGTATCTTGAATAGCTCCCTCCAAAAATGACTTAGAAAGATCTTATCCCGATAAGCCTCTATAGACTTTGGTATGCCATGCAAACATGCCACATCTCTAATGAAAGTAGCTGCTACTGACATTGCGGTGTATGGGTGGCATAGGGGAATGAAATAAGCTTATTTTCTCAATTTGTCCACTACCACTAGAATCACAGTGAATCCTTTTGACTTAGGCAAGCCCTCAATGAAGTCCATAGTCACCTCTTCCCACACCTTCTCGAGTAAAACTAAAGGTTGCAAAAGACCACCTGGAGCCATAGCCTGGTATTTCTGTCTCTGGCATACATCACAATTGGCCATCATCATCTCCACATCCTTCTGCATACCCACCTAGTACAACTTTGCTGCTAGTCGATGATATGTCTTTTGGATTCTCGAATGTCCCATAATAACTGTGCCATGAAACTATTGCAACAAGTGAGGGATGTGTGGTGATGTCATTGATAGCACAAACCATCCATGGTATAGTAATGTTTGACCCACTAAGGAATAACCAGGATGACTATCCTTGTTATGCATTAAATATCCTCTGATTTTGCTCAGCTCTTCATCTTGCTCGCTCTCTTGCTTAGCCATAATATGGAGATCTTCACTATGTTTGGAGAGAGCATATGCCACTTTATTTTCCAACCAAGGCTTGTATTGGATCTCAAAGTCATACAACAATACCTTGAAAAGCCACTATTGATTCTTCTGTCACCATCATCTGCTCCAGCAAGAACTTCAAACTTCTCTGATTGGTCTTGATTATGAAATGTCGCCCCAATAGGTAAGGTCGATACTTCTGAATTGCTAACACAATTGCCATATGTTCCTTTTCATATATTGATTTCAGTGTGGCCCTAGAAGTCGACACTTGGCTGAAATAAGCCCAGAGAATTGCTCCCAACCCATAGCCTGATGCATAAGTCTCCACTATAAACGGCTAGATGAAATCTAGTAGTGCTAACATAGGGGCACTAGTCTTGGCTTTCTTTAGCTGCTTAAATGCATGAGTGGTTGCCTCCTCCCATTTGAAATTGTCCTTCTTCTGCTAGTTTGTCAATGGCCAGGTTATAGTGTTTTTTCCATTCACAAACTTCCTTTAATATCTTGTGAGTCCTAGAACCTCCTTAGCCCCTTCAGGGTTTTAGGCACGAGCCAATCTACCATTGCTTCTATCATGGCTGGATCCACTAACACCTCAGCTTGAGATACTATATGTCTTAAGTACTCAATCCTCTACTATGCAAAAGAGCACTTCTTCAAGTTTACATATAGTTGGTGCTCCTTCAGAAACACCAATCCCAAGTGCTCCAAGTGTTCCTCCGACTTTTTATAGATAAGGATCTCATTAAATAATACCAGAGCAAACCTCCGAAGATAAGGCTTGAACACCCTATTCATGAGTGTTTAGAAAGTGACAGTGGCGTTAGGGAGGCCAAAAGGCATCACAAAGAACTCATAATGTCTCTCATGAGTTCTGAAAGCCATCTTGTGGGTGTCCTCTGGTCGCATTCTAATTTTGTGATACCTAGACTTCAAATCAATTTTTGAGAACACCACCGGGCCGTGCAACTCATCTAGTAGTTCATCAATGGTTGTTATGGGAAACTCATATGGCACAGTCTCTTCGTTCAAGGCATAATAATCTATACATAATCTCCAATTGTTATCATTTTTCTTCACCAACAACACAAGACTAGAAAAATAGCTCACACTCGGCTTGATGATCTCGGCTTCAAGCATCTTTTGAATCAGCCTCTCAGTCTCATCCTTTTGGACCTGTGGGTAGCAATATGGTCAAACACTAATGTGAGTGACCCATTCCTTCAGAATAATAGTGTGCTTATGCTCGTGTGGATGAGTCAATCCTTGGGGAGGTTGGAATACCTCATTGAACTGCTGGAGAAGCGGCTTAACTACTTTTGGAGAAAATAACTTTTTTAAAAGCTATTGTAGAAAACGGCTTCTAGTATAATTTTTTTGTTTTGAAAGAAATAAAAAAATATTGGTCAGATAAAAATTATAATTGCTGTCTAAAAAATAAAACATTAAGAAAATTATATCAAATAAAACCTAAATCATTTTCAACTTACATAGACGAATTTTTTTTTAACTTTTTTTTTTTTTGCTTAATTGTATATGAAACATAACTACAATTATAATTGTGATATTCTAACTCTTCTAATGAAATAATTTGTATCCTTACAAAATATACTTTTTAAATTTTAGATTATGTGATAGGCCAGTGCTTCAAAACCACAGGTTTTTTATCTTTAGGCTTCGTTGGGGACGGCTTTCTTACCGTTATTTAAAGTAAATTTTTAGTACAAAAATTAATAAGAAAGTCATTCCAAATGAAGCCTTAGTGTTGGATATCAATTCCTAATTGCTTCTCATGCCATTAATGAACTTAAGTACAAAGTTAAGCACACTTGAGTCTTTTCAATCTTCAATTAATATCAACTATATATTAGCCTGTGTTTATATATATTTATTAGGAAAAGAGAAGATTTCTAAATTAAAATGAGAAGTGTTAAATTTAAGAGCTAATATAAATGATTATAAAATAATAATAAAATATATCAAATAAATATATAGGATATCAAAATTTTTGGATTGATATCAATCAAGCTTACATCTACTATTGTATAGAGATTAAATAATTTCCACCAAACTTTCAAGAAAATGCATGAAAATATGTATTTCATATAATATTAAAAATAAAGATACCAATTTATTTGTGTCTATAAATATGAATGTAAAAATTATAACCATCCTTATAAAAAATCGTTGTCCTCCCAAACGGAAGAGAAATTATTGTGTGCGGAATCCGAATGCATTCGGATTCCAATCACAGCTTGCCACATCAGCAGATGCACTCCGGGGCCCAGTGCATTCAGTGACGTGGTGCATGGTGATTGGAATCCGAATGCATTCGGATTCCGCACACAATAATTTCTCCAAACGGAGCCGTAGTTTCTCCACCCAGTTGTTATTAGAGATACTCATTCTTCTCCAAAAAGATCTATTTTTCTCTCAAATGTAAAGAGGAGATAGAATAAAAAAAATAAAGCAATAAAAAATTTATGTCAAACCGACACTAAATTTATATATATTGCACAACTTTTTTTTTAATCTAAGTACTTAATATCTAAATATCATTATTCAAGAAGAGAGAGTTCAACAACTCAGTAGACTCATACTTAGATAACCAGTTTATCTCTTAAAGAAAAATTTCTTTTATAAGCTTATTCTTTAGTTAAAGTGATAGAATAATCCTGCGGAAGGATCATTGTCGAGACAATTAAAAAAAAAAAAACGGTTTTTAATGTAAACCTCCATTATCAACTTTCAAAATTGAAACAAAGCAACTTCAAGTCAGAAGATCTACACATTAGCGATTTAGATCATATTAGAAAAGCCACTTTCCTAAATATAAATGATAAATGGCCCAATAGTACTTGAATCGTTCTTTTAAGACTTCGTTTGGGACGACTTACTTACTGTTTCTTAAAGCAACTTTTTAGTACAAAAACTTTAATTTTTCTACTAAAAAGACGTTTTAAGAAACAGTAAAAACGTCATCCCAAACGAAGCCTAAATTGGGAGCTATTAAGACAATTGTTATTTGACATAGTTATCAATGGTGTATGCTAAAAAAATTTTATTTATAGAGAGATCATTTTACGTCATATTTTGGCTTGATGATCCATCATATACATAGATAAAAGAAAAGAATGTAAGATGCATCCGAGTTTTTATATAAAAACTTTGAAAAGGGAAAAAATTTTAGGACTTGGTCTACTTAAGATAATCCATTAAATATTTAAAGTTATTGAAGTCTACTCCTTGTAATTGAAGAAGATATGATTACAAAGTTATGAACACTCGTTTAATTTCCTGTAGTTGTCATAGAGACTATGGGAGTAGTGTGGGGATGATGACGCCAGATAAATAATGTTAGTCGGGCAATGATTGTTGGTCGGCGATAGTCGAACGATGACGATTAGATGATGGTGGTTAATAAAGATGTGACAATTAGGCGATGATGGTTGGACAATGACAATCTAACAATGATGATTAAATGATGGGGAATGAACTATAACAACCAAACAATAATGGTTAAACAACACAGTGAGGCTATAGTGGTCCAACGACAATAGTGATTGTTGGCTTTAAATGTTCACTAGGGCTCTAGAATTCTTTAGTTCTCTATGGTGTGTCCAATATCATGTCTAGGCCCCCCTCATTGTGGATAATGAGGATCTATTAAAAGCATTTTGTAAGTGAGATTTTAATAAATTTGACTAAAATTTCAAAACACTCCATTGAACTATCATATTTAATCATTTTATTATAGGTTATTCATTTAGCATTTATGTGACATACTGACATCAAAATTTAATGATTTTAGACTCATTGGATTCATCTCATCGAGCTGCTTGACTTGATTATCAACATACAAGATTTGAAAACAATTTGGGCATTCAACTAATATCCCAAAGTTTTTAAATACATTTTAAGTATTTATTTTTGGTTCATTCGAACTAGGATCAAATCACATTTGATGTTTTCGTGTTTGACTTATCGAAATGTACGATTTAACTATAAATTTGTTGAAATCAAGTGAAATTTTTACAGACCCATCACACAATATTCTTATATTTATATCATTTATTGAATTAATATAATCACTAACCCTAAGGCTGTTCTTTCTTCACTTAATTTAATAAATGTCCAAGCCTTTTCAGCTACATATTTCTTTATAGCTACTCTTTTGACTTAACCACACTATATCAGAATTATGTTGAACCATACATATTCAAGATTGAATGTTTTGAAGTACTGCATGCGTTTCCTTAATTTGAATTGTCCTATTTTGCAATAAATTATAAAAATTATTGCCAGATCTTTTCAATAACGCCCATTTAATTTTTTTAACCAGAACGTAGTCAACATCACTGTGAGAACAAAAATCAGTGTGGAAGAATTCAAAGATAAATCTCATAAAATAAATAATAAGTCAATCAAAACTTTTTATTAAATTTTGATCAATGCTCCATCAACTAAATAGTGCTTAATACGTTGATTTTAATGATAAATATTACAAGTTTGAGGTTCTGTTTATGATAGCTGCAGCATTTTGTGAAGTTGATGTGGAGAAAGCAACTTCATTATTATAGTTTTGTCTAGGACGACTTTCTTACTGTTTCTTAAAGAAACTTTCTAGTATAAAAATTAAAAATTTTGTACTAAAAAACTGCTTTAAGAAGCAGTAATAAAGCCATCCCAAACAAAGCCTATAATTGCATAAAGCAACTTTTCACCATAAAAATTTCTTAAAAGTTGTAAGTAGGGGTGTCAAAAATTGACACGACCCGAAACCCGATCTGAAAAAATCTGGGTTCGAGTCAACCCATTTATGAAACGGGTCGGGTCCGGGTTCATATTTCCGACCCATTTGAAAAAATAGTCATGTTCGGGTTGACCTAGAAACCCATGAGTTGACCCGAGTTGACCCGGTTACTTGACCGCGTCCGCGACTTTGCTTCTAGTCACGACTGTTGCTTCCTGCGTCCGCGTCATACAGCCATCTCGCCGCTTGCACAGGCTACGCTACTATGACCTACAGGCAGGTTGCCACTTGCAACGCCAAGAATGAGAAATTCGCTTCTTAGGCGTCCACGTCTAGTTGCCCTTCCGCCTCAAGCCCTCAACCGTCTCGTCTAGTACTTGAGTCGTCGCTTCCCGCAGTGTAACGTCTCCACCAGTACGATCACCATTGGTTCCTAATCGGGTTCGTGAGTTGGGTCGGGTCAACTCGGTAATCCACGCAGGTCGATCGAGTCCGGGTTGAAAATCTTGACCCATTTAGCTAGCCGGGTCATGTTCGGATCAACCCTTTTTGCCCGAGCAAACTCAGTTTAGATCTGAAACCAACCCGTTGACTCGAATTGATACCCCTAGTTGTAAGAAAGCAGACAAATAATAAATTGTAGTTGCTATTTGAAAACAAAGCAACAAAAAAGCTATCTCCAACATACCCCGAGTCTGATTTGTGACAAGCTTTATACTGATCAATGTTTCATGACTCAATATCTAAAATTTAATTTTACATATATACAGAGGAGAATATGAGATATTTATTGGGAAAAATAATTGAGTAATTAAGATAAATTTTAAAATTATTAAATTTATTTCATGATAAACATAATAAAAAAATCAATTAATTAATCATATATTGTATTGTTATAAGATAAATTTAAGGATTTTATTATCTTTTTTTATTAAAGATTGATTTGAGACGATTGTAGCTTTTCATAAAAATGATTTATCAAGTTGCTATGAAAAATAATTTTTTTTTTTTAAAAAAAATTGCTATAGAAAACAACTTTCTAATGTATATATATATAGTTAAAATATATATAATAATTAAAAATTCGTAATCAGTCAAAAATTATGATTGTGATATAAAAAATAAAATAGTAGAATCAACTCGCATGACCAACAAAATTTCCATTTCTTGTTATTTTTCCTTAATAAATCTCCCAACAAAAAATGTTAATTAATCAATCATCAAAATTCCAGTTTTTCAAATTAAATAATACAAATACACTCATACATAAATAATTGTGGGGGAAAAAAAATTTCACTACAATCGCATACTTTTTCTCACTCAAAACTTAAAAAAAAAAAAAGGAATGAAAAAAAAAAACACATATAAATAACTCTGCATATACATATAATGAACAATATATGTATAAGTAGTAAAGATTCAGCAACCAAAATGAACTGTTATGATCAGCAACCAAGCCGAAGCTCCAAATCCACCTCTTCAATGGTCAATTCCTCCTCGTCGTTCTCATCTTTGCTATGATCATCACTGCTGGTCGTTCTGATCAACGAGAAATCAGAAGCAGAAGCAGAAGCACCAAAACTAATCGTCCCAACATTATTATAAGATGATGATGATGACAAGGAGAAGAAGGTGGAAGAAGAAGAGTCCTTGGTTGATGGCCGGGTCTGACCTGCAGGCCCAGCCACCACCGGGTAGACGAAGCAAAATCCGCCGCCACCACCACCCGCTGCCGCCTCCGCAAATATAATTGGATGCTGAGCAGCTGGTCGTGCCTGCATCTGAGCTCTAGCACGGTCACGACGGTGAACGTTCATGTGGCCGCCGAGTGCCTGTGCTGACCGGAACTGACGCCTGCAGAAGCTGCAGGCGTAGAACCGAGGCGGCCAGGTGGTTCCCATGATGTTACTGGTGTCCTCCGCGAAGGCTCTCACCTCCCATGAATCATCGTCGTCGTTAGTAGCCGCGACGAGATCTTTACCGGCGGCTGGTCGAATGTAGCTGAGCATAGTCATCACCTTCTGCTTCTTCTTTTGGTGCTGATGAGGATGATGATGAAGAAGATGATGCTCTTCTTGTGGTCTTTTGAGCTGTGTCAAAGGGAACAGACCAAGTTCCAGCGTTGCCATGGATCGAGATCTTGTATATTTGTGTAGAGAGTAATGTTTGGGCATTGGTGTTGGCTTATATAGAGAGGGGGAAGGCCAATTCTAGGGTTTTGGGAAGTAGCTTAGTTACAAAGAGAGGTAACTTGGCATTTTAACTCTAGCTGTATATATGCTGTGATGCTTTTGGAGTCTTGCTAAGAGCTATAAGGAGAGAGGAGAGAGATGGTTAGAGAGAGTAAAGAAAGAGTTAATGGATGATTGTGTTGTTTTCTTTGTTAACTTTTTGAGAGATTATTCTTTTGAAAGATTATTCTATGCGGACATCGGATGAAAAGAATCGTTCAGATTTTATCTCTATGAATATTAAAAATGCAGCATGAACAGTAAACGTATATTGAGTTGAGCTTTTATTATTCGCAAAGGCAAATCTGACGATTCTTCCCGTCCGATGTCCGTACAGAATAATTCATCCTTTTTGAGATGCAAAGGAAGAAGGAAGAGGTAATGGGAGATGAGAGTTGTGGAACAAAAATCTTACAAGAAAATTTTTAATAAGGAATTTTTTTTTTATAAATATTTTTTTGTCACATTTTGAATATTGAAAATATAGATGATTCAAGTTTAATTTCTATTTTTTATTGCTTGATACATTATAATACGCCATTCAATTTCAGTTCTTGTCCAACTGAACTGAAGAATTAATTACACGACATGGATGGTGGATTTGAATGGATTCAACTTCCAATTCAATCCAAAATTTATTTTTGAAAATCTAAAATTATTTATTTATTTATTTATTTATTGTATATTCTATTAATTAGAAAATAAATTTTAAAATTCTAATTAAAAACTTATTGTAATTAAACTATAATTAGAATCATGTCATGACTTGTTGCGTCTTGGAACATTCGCGGTGGTAGAGAGATATAGAGTTTAGCGTCCTTGTTTTAAACGAAAATTCAACATATAGATAAATGAGAGAGAGAGGTGCAAGAGTCATAAGAGATAACAAGATTTTTCTAAGAAGGGGAAAACCATTGGGTCTGGCCCAATTAAAATTATTCTTCTAGTATTTGTAGTTGATTACAAATGATGCTTTTCCTCAAGGGGAAGGCATTGCCTCAATGTGGCAAATATACATAATATAAAGCAAATTACATGGTGGGAGTTAGAAGAATATAGTTATATGAGAGTTATTCTCAAAAAAAATGATGGCATGCTCGTTTGGTCGGTAGGGTTGTAGTTTGACGACAGTGGTTGGATGGACTGTAGGGGGGCAATGGAGGTCAGAGGTATCGTAGTTAGCATGTGACGAAGGTCGGAAGAATTGTAGTCGGCAGGTGATGAAGGTCGAAGGGACTGTGTTCGACTCAGATTGGATCTATTTGGGTGTCGTTGAGTTCGTCTCACTGACACATTCAATTTGATTATAAGTTTGCTGAAATTGGCGTTCAAATGATTCCGTATGTAATTTTGAAAGTTATCAGCTAGACTATATCTCAAGATTCATGCTCGATCAAGATGATTTTTGACGACGTATCATGACTCAATTTTCCCCCATTTGATCATTGCAAAGTTTTTTTTTTTTTTAACATCTACTGCATGTTAATTAGCACAAGATTTCTTCCTATTCATGGCATCCAATGTGCATAACATTCTTTGGAATATGGAAAACTTCTTTGAGAGATTCTTGGCACTTCCTATAAGGAGTCATGTGTGATAAATTAAGTTCACTTTGGAACGGTTGCTGTATTTTATAAAGTTGACTGTAAAATTATTGTGAGAAAAACATCAATTTTTTATTACGTAAGTTTTTAAAAATTGTGAAAAAATAATGATCAAGAGCTTTCTCAAATATAGCTTTAGCTATTTTGGTGATAAAAAGCAGCTTTCTAAAAAGCAAAAAAGCTGTCCAAAATTGACCCTAAGACATATGAGTTAGCAAGCAATAGATTTATAATAATAATTAATCAACCTAAATTGTACTAAAATCTTTTACTCTCTATCACTTTGAATAAATATTTTAAGCTTGAATTTTAGGTGGCTTCGCAAAAGTGGACAATCGAAAGTTCAAAAAATAATTAATAAAGATTAAAAAAAATTATAGAGAGAGCAGTACTGGATGACAAGTTTTTTCATATAAGATAATTAATAAGATCAGTTTTGTATTTATTTTAATTAATTAGTTATAATTAAATTTTTTATGGAAAAGGGGCTATCAAAGTTGATTTTTACATTTTTTTTTTCTGTCATCCAAAATATTATTGTGGCATTTATAATTATATTTTTTATTATTTACCTTCCTAACCGCCTTCTAATGTTGAAAAAAAAAACCATTATCTTCATAACCAGAATAGTGTAATGAAAATTTCTGGTTATAAATATATATAAGGATCAAAGCCCTACATGGGGTCCTGGTTGGGTACCCAATGCGTACCCATGCATTACTCAGACGGGCTTCGCCCACCCATGCCCACCCATGGTGACTTTCGAGATGCCATACCCATCTATACCCACCCACTTTCCAAACTTTTTGAATGCAGTCTGCCACGAATTGATGGCTTTGAGGCTTCCTGCCCTTTGCTTTGATTGTAAACTTTCAAGACGCATGTCAGAATTTACTATAGTCACATCGTGGTTAAGTGCTGCACACACGTAGTGAGGATTGTAGTAATATAAGATATATAGTGATTATCAATTATAAATCAATTTATCCCCCGATATTGAGTACCCACCCATACCCACCCACAAGATCATGGGCATACCCATACCCACCCATACCCATTGGGTATGGGTGAGTACATGGGTGGGTGTGGGTATGGGTACCCAATGTAGAAATTTAATCTATGATAGAAATTTCATACAAAGAAATTTAATCTAAATATTTTATTGATTAAAAGTAGGGTATACTATTTATAAGAATGTGGGAGGTCAATTAAAAGACTTAGGGCACAAGATCAATAATTATAGATAGAATTTCATACAAAGATTAGTGAATATGGTGGGGTGATAATTTTTAGATGATTGTAGTTAGGGGTGTCAATTTCGGGTCACGGGTCGGGTTCGGGTCGAACCCGGAACTAACCCGGGTTCAATCGGGTCGACCCTAACCCGATCGGGTAGGTAAACGTGTCAAAAACTCGGACCCGGATCCGACCCGTCGGATTGCCGGGTTGACCTGACCCGACACGGGACGCGGGGGCGCAGACGAGGCGGGCAGACTCTGGCGCGCGGAAGCGGGCGCTCAGGCGGGAGAGCGAACCTGGGATAGCAGGCCGGTAGAGCAGGCGCGGGCGCGTGCAGGCAGAGCAAATCGTGCGGGCAGCCTTGGGAAAGGCCCAAGCAGCCACGAGCAGGCACAGGCAGGGCGCGAGCAGCTGCGCGGGTAACCGGGGCAGGTGCGAGCAGCCTCGGGTTGCGCAGGCAGCTCATTCTCGATGGGTTTCCGGGTTGACCCAAAAACCCGTCGGGTCAACCCGAACTCGATCGATTTTTCAAACGGGTCGAATCCGGTATCCCGAACCTGACCCATTTTTCAGACGAGTCGGGTCCAACCCGAAATTTCCAGGTCGGGTTCGAATTGGGTTTTCGTGTCATGTCAAATATTGACACCCCTAATTGTAGTTGATGGATAGTAGTTTGAGCATCATTCCAAAATGATGATAGTTGAAAGATTATAATCAAACTATGATTTGTAAATGTCCATAATAGGGCAATGGGGGTTGCATGACAATAGTCAGGTGATCGTGGTTGTGTGGCAATACTCAAAGAATTGTAGAGGGGTGACAAAGATTGGAAAACTATAATCCAGTGATGGTGATTGGAAGATCGTAATTAGACAATGGTTTTTGGAGAATAGTAATCAGGTGATTGTGGTTCAATGATTATAGTAGGGTGACGGTAATTGGATCGAAGATCATAGTTGGACAGTGGTAGTTGAATAATCATAGTTGAGCGATGGTGGTCATAGGGGGTGGGGGTTGGAATGCGACAGCCTGATGGCGAAGGTTTGATGGTAGGTTTTATTAATGGTGGTCCATCAACAACTAAACTATCTCCAATTTCAAGTCAAAGCTAAAGCTCAAGCTTCATCCTCCTCCCCCCTCTTATCCTCTTCATCATATAAAGAGTGTGAGTCTATTTATATAATTCGTGAGAAAAACTCTCCGTAAATATAGCTAAAATTCAAAATAGTCAATTACACTGCTCATATTGATCATCTTGATTATTAATCATTTTTTCAGTATTTGGGAGCCTTAATAATATCAAAATTAAGAAATCTTGAACTTGTTAGATTCATCTTGTTAAGACGCTCGATTTGACTATAAACATGTTTAATCATCAAATTAATGTTTTAAAATTTTCAATTCTCCTTCAAGTAATTAACTTGAGCTCATTTTGAGTGTATGGGATCACTTTTAGTGTCGATAGATTTGTCTCATCAAGACGTTCAATTTCAAATTGGAATTAAGATGATCTTAAATATAATTTCAAAAGTTTCTCACTTACATATTTTATAGATATTTGTCTTTAACAAATGAATTTTCTATGATTAATATATATAAATATATTAATTAACCAAAGAAAAGAAAAGAGAAGCAATAGAGGCCAATAAATTAGCATTCTTATAATTTTTTAATTAATTAATTTGTACTCCAAATCTTGTTGCCGCATAAACCAATAGAATAATTACCAGTTGTACTCATATAATCTGTGGAAAATAATTTAGTTCTGAAACATCATCAAATAAAAAAACCTAATTAATTACTATAAAAAAAGCTAAGCCAATTTTATTAATTATAAAATTTATACTTAGACAATAACAGCTAATTCCCTTAAACATGCACACTTCTTTCTTCATAAATAAATATATTCAAACGAAGAGAGAATTAAATCGTAGAAACTTT